TGCCTCCCGAGTGCTGGGATTAAAGGCGTGCGCCACCATGCCCGGCTAAATGCTCAGATTTTTATGATAAAATGGTAATCTTATTAAGCTCAATAGATTAGCAAGAATTTATAAAAGAATCATGCCACTCACAAAAGAACTCACTGGAAAGAAGAAAATGAGAAAAGAGAAGAAAAAGTTAAGTATCAGAGTTTGTGATCATTCACTTTGTACACCAATTGAGTAAACAGCTTCTGCAGGGTCTAACAGCATATTGATATACACATGTTACATCAAATGTGTAATAGGTATTCTAAAAATCATATTAGAACATGTCATTTAATCTCTTCACATACACACAAAGATCACCCTGACTTAAAAGTGGCTCATTTTAGAGATTTAGAAATGGTTTAAGAAAATTGAAGAAGAAAAAATAACAAGCTATTTTTCTGTGCTTAAGCTGGACTTACTTAACCAATCTGAGAGAGATAAAAGCTGACCTTATTTAAAATATTACCTGTGAAAAAGATTTTGCAATACCCCTGAGTAACCTTTTTCAATGCATAACGACTTTTAGTAGCAAAATTCCTTTTTCTAAACGAAAGGCTAAAACTCTCACTATTGAAAACTAGATAAGGCACATTTTAAGGTCACAGGTGAGATGGTACAGTTTAAGGAACACTGTTATTATTTTGTGATTTCCACCTCTGCAGATTTTAATTTCTACTTGTAACTTGCCTCTGCCAGTTGAAAGAGTGCAGACTTTCCACAGCGTTTTGCAGGCTCAGCACCATCCAACTGTGAGGTGTTTGAAGAGATCTATATGGAAAACAATTCATATAAACAGTATTAATTTTGATGAGAGAATCTTTGCTTCCCTACAAATACATTTAAGAATGTTCTTAAATTTATGGGAATAACAATTATCAAATAGCTTTAAATACATCAAGCTTGGAATGATAACATTGAATCATTTTGTGCAGCTCAAAAATAACAAAACTAGGTATAGCTTCAATGGCTACTTAATGACAAGAATATTACCTTTCATACTCCAGACTCCAATCTTAACTTTAACATGATACACATGTTGATTTTTTGTATTAACTCATCAATTGTCCAAATATAAAGATACAGAGTTATTTTTGCACTTACCAACTGAATTAGATTTTAAAGGAAATATTTGGGATCTCAGTGGAAAGAATCTAATACATGGTAGACAATACCACAGTAGCTGGGGGAATGTAAGAATTTTATATAAAATACTGTTTGGGGGGCTGGAGAGATGGTTCAGTAGTTAAGAGCACTGGTTGCTCTTGTAGAGGACCCAGGTTCAATTCCCAGCACTCACATGGCAGTTAATAATTGACCATAACTCCAGTTCCAGGGGAATCTGACGCCCTCTTCTGACCTCCACAGGCATTGGAAGATACAGGTGCACTTACATACATTCAGGCAGGCACACTCATACACATAAAATAAACATAATAAAATATTTAATATATAAAATACTGATTGGATTTGATAGTTCATAAAGTATACCAAAAGACTAATAATCAAGACTGCAAGCCTGGGGCTGGAGAGATGGTGCAGCAGTTAAGACCACTGTATGTGCTGGCAAAGGACCTGAGTTTGGTTCCCATCACCCACATGGCAGCTAACAACCACCTGTAACTCCATTTCCAGGGTATTCACAGCCCTCCTCTGGCCTCTGCAGGCATTGCATGCATGGGTGCACTTGCATATACACAGGCATAGCACTCACACACACATAAATAAATCAATAAATACATAGAAACATTCTGCAAGCCTAAGGTATGTAGGATCTATGCTGGGTACACTGGCATACATATGCCATCATACTAACAACATACTTTTTTGCAAATTTGGCTAAGTAGTGTCCATGCACTGATAAAGATGAACAGTACTGTACTTTCTCATTTCCATATTAAAATTTCATTTTCAAGTTTTTAGCCACAGTAAGTGCTGATAGGACAGATACTCAAGAAGGTCATTTCCACAGCACTCTTCCCCCAGAGACATTCCATCATCATTAGAGCCATTAGCTATGGTGTAAGCATCTTGCATTCCTGTGATTTTGAATTCTTTCTTGGTTTGCACAGAGTTATTTCTCAATTCTAGTTGGATACAATCTTTCATCCTTACAATGACCCAGGTCCCATAGGGTATTCTAAGGAGTTGTCAGCTCTGGGATAGATTGGGTGCATGAGTGCTCACTGCTAGAGGGAATTCTCTGTGGAATACCTATTGAGTAAGAGACCTTTGTGAAGGTGTACATTTAATAACTTACCTAAGCCATTTAATAAAGGGTCTAGTAAAAGGAAGCCATGAGAACTTTCACCTCTTAGGTTCTATCAGTTTTAGCAGACTTTCATATTCATTTCAATCACTTAATTTCTATACAAGAGAACTTAAGTGCTCAATCTTTCTAAAGTCTGGAGTATTTTCTGCTAGTCAAATTTTCAGTGATGCATACTACTATTTTTTCTAGACAAGCTGAATTCAATCACTCACCCAACCACTAAGACTAACCACTAACCACTAGACTAAGAGAAAGCAAATACAGTAACATCACCCTTAGTAACTAAAGGGATGAAGTACAGTAACATCACCCTTAGTAACTAAAGGGATGAAGTACTGAACATGAATGCTAGTCGTCTGAACCAAGAGGTAGGACCAGTGTCCCAGACAGACATGCCTTCATTACTTTCTGCTCTGTAGACTTAGTCAAATAATCAAGACTTAGAGCCTCACTTACTTATGATTTATCATTATCACTAATAAATACACCTTTTTAGTATAAACATTGCTATTAACTGAAATTGAAAAGAATTTCAAACTAGAATATCTGAGGATGCTACTAATGTACAGACTGTTAGATCTGCTGCAAGATCAAACATCACTGAAGGATGTACGCTGGGTAGCACTGTATTATACAGGCTCAGCTCTTTGTACTTCTCTACCAGCTCCCTCTGCTGTCGCTTTTGTTCCAGTGTCTGCTCCTCGGCTGTGTTCATTCACTACCATATCTGGTGCCTCTTGCAGTGCATGTCATATCAAGAGGCTCCAGGAGAACTACTGACCAGAAGAATAACAGTATTACTTGTCCTCTGAGAATGCGCTGCTGGGTAGAGGTTTGAGTTTTCTTGCCTTTCAAAAGCAGCATATGGATAGTAGGAACAGCTTCTCTCATCTCTGGGAGGACTTTTACCTATTCACAGCTACTAGAAAATATTTCAAATATTCACGTTGCTAAAAGCCTGTGTGTGGGAAGTTCAACATTATTTTTCCTTTTTTAAAAAATTTGTTTTTATTGAATTTTTGTGCATTTCACACAGAACATCTCAATCAATCTTAATCATATTCCTAAAGCAAGGGACTCTAGATAAACTGAAAAGCTCTCAGGAGATGAACATGCACTGAGGTTCAAGATATTTCATTAGTTTGAAGCTTCCAGAGTCTCCTGAGAAATTTTCATGGAATGACTTACTGGTGAGATATGTTTCCTAAACATGTCTTTTGACTAAATTCCACCTCCACCCCCCGCCCAGGGTGAGTTGGTAGGAAACTGGACACATGATAGTTTTGATGGCTCTGTCCTTCTCTGTAGCACTTAGCATTGCTAATGTCTTGCCTGGAAATCTGGGCTTCTATTACTGCAGGGTCTGAAGTCATGGCCACTCCTTGGTAATCTTCTTTGCTAGCTTGTATTTCTATAGAGAGCCTATAAATGCCGGTTTCCAGCAGCATTTTCTCTAGGGCCTAGTCTCTTTATGTCACATATTTTCTCTTAGTAATTTCAGTGCTGATGATGGCTTCAATTTGAAGAATAAGCTGTATGGTGCTGATCCATCATATTCTCACTGCTTGCTCCTGCTAATAATTTTCCATCTAAGAGTCATATGCTTCCTTTCAAGCAAGAACAATATTGTCAAGATCTGTTTTTCAAAGACTGGCCTAACTGGTACTCCTTGCCCACCAGGGTGTGACTGCTGTACTGGTAGACAGGGTATCTCGTAGTGTCCATGACTATGACTTCTATTTTCTCAATTTGGATGGTGCTTGCCAACCTGCTAATTCTTCTGTTTTAACTATTATATAATATTCAGATAATCAGTCTTCAGTCATAAAGGTTAGTAAAAGGGCAAGTGAAACAGTATATGAAGTACAGCAAAAATGCTAAGAAAATTATTGCCCTGGATATTAAATCACTCATTTTCTGGCAAGTTTTTATGCCTGAGGTATATGAGTGCACAAAGGAAATCAGTGGTAAAGATCAGAATCAAGTTAGGTATTGGTAGAAACCTTTTGCAATTATAAGGGTGTTATAAACACCACAGTCTGGAGGAAAATGGTAACTATTGAATCGGTAAATAAATAAAAGAACAAATGGACAGTATGATGAAGACTGGTATTGCTCACTTTAAAAGAAGTGTACAGTGTTTTTTATATAATGTAATATTCCATAATATACTAAGTATTTCATCACAAAAATGGATGCTTTAAATTTGTGGCTATTGCTTAGACCTAATCGTGACAAAGCCTTAAATTTGATAAGATTATGTATGTACTTATATTGGCAAGGTAAATATCTTCTAAGGAAAGTTTTAACATACAAATCTATTTGCTTAAGTCATCTAGATCATCTGTGTCTTTATAGTGAGTATGCTATTTTTCAATGTAAAGATATACTCTCAGTTTAAAAGTCAGCCATATATCAGACAGATAATATGTGCACTGACTGTGGCTTTTAGACTTGTTAAATAATGGAAAACAATACTCCCTTCTGGCATTATATTTGGTCATCAGTCTTCAGAAACTAGATCTAAAAATTGAGTGATGTGCCACTCTACCTGTAAACAACTGGTGCACATAGGAAATTCATTTTGACCAGTTTAATGCATCTGAGCCTGAAACACAGAGTATCACATAGGCTCAGTTGAATCTGGATGATGGAAGGGGAGACAAGGCTGGCATGAGGGTGGGCAGTCTGTGCACTCTGTATTTCTCTCTAGAGCTTATGAAGCAGAAATTATTTTCTCTCCTTTAATGTAAATATTCATAAGGGACCTATAAACAAAATGTGCTTTATTGGGGCATGGTTTCGTGTAGGTTAATTTCAATAAACTTTTAGATGATTAGATTTGGTTAAGAAGAAATAGGACAGATGTGAAAGAAAAACAAAAATCATTTGTGACTTAAGGAAATGGTTAGAGCTTTCCCCATTGCCCTCTGAGAAAGTGTTTTCTTGGATAATTATACTTTACCATAAATGATCCATATCAGAGAAAACAGAGCCAAATGCCTCCATAGGCCATATAATAAAATTAGCAGGAATGATTTCTAAGAATACTTCATGCCTGATCTTAAAAATATCTTAAAAATAAACATTCACAGAGTAAACTATTTCTCAGAGTACATAAATGTTGACTTCTCTTTTAGGTAGGTGGTAATAGAACTACAAGCCTCTGAAAAAAATGACAGGGTATAAACTGGTAATTTTTAATCACACAGCTATCCATTTCTTTTGTTTCACCCTTCTCTTACTACAACACAGAAATATGAAAAAGTGCATTAACATAACAATTTGATATTTTTGGAGCTAAAAAAATGCAGTATAGTGATTTAAGCTGTGGTTCCCCAAAAAGAATCTTGTTGTGAAATACAAATTCTCAGGTCTAACCTTGGATTTGCAGTCCTGTTTCTCTCTGTTGAACAAGCCTCTGATGTATTTTAAAGCTTGAGAACCTTTGCCACCGACTAATTAGAACAAGAATTTCATGAGTCTGTGTTTTCTCAAAGGTGATACTGTTTTGTGATATAAATATAAAAGCAAGGGGGATATGCTCAGTAATTACAGGGTTTTCCGTTTCTACTGCAATATATGTTCATAATAAATTCTAGCAGGCAATTTTATTAGTTCATTTAGTTAGCTCTTGTTTAGCCTTAAATAATCCAGCCCAGAAGTGGGCTTGAGAAATATGGTGAGATGGTAAAATGTTAAAGATTGAAACAGTGTTCTAACCCATTATATGAGGAAAATGACTAGATAAGCTATATATTGCTAAGAGATTTCTTTTATGTAATACACATATAACATATAGAATTAAATAACCTGAGTGCCATAATTTACTTAAGTTGCTCAAATTAAGAAGGATTATCAGTCTATACAAATATAACTAAGAAAAGTACCCCCCTTAGAGTAGAGGAGGGAAGAGGACTCCATCTGATTCTCTGGCACAACAGAATCTATTGTTCACATTGCCATTGTGGGCTTCCATCATGCCTGATTTCTTGCAAGTCCTTGAAATGTCTCAGGAAAAATTTCAAATTAACAATCTTAAAACTTCCTAAAACCCTACAAATGATTCCTATCAACCAAAAGCCTTTGGGGACAAGTGCTACTAAGCAGAAGTGTGACATCTGGGAATGCTGCCCTGAAGATTCTTACTGATGTTATTTTTGTGCCTGGGGATGGGGGAACAGTAAAAATTAGAGACAAGCCTGAGTCTTGCCACTTGAGGTATGAGTAAATTACTTTAAGAGATTCATGGGATCTCATTTTGCTGAATCATAGGTCAGTGGCTGCTGCAACATCAGTCCCTTAGAACTGACCCAGGGCTTCAGGGGCTGCTAATGAATCTGATGATAGTATCTCCCAACTATTGATTAATCACGCTGTTAGACACACTCTAATGCTGGCTGAGATACTCCACACTGACATTTTATATTAAGTAGAATACTCTTGGTAATTAACACATAGACAAATATTAGCTGTGTCAAAGATAAGCCATGACCACACCATTCTAATATTCATATAGGGTGAAGAACTGAATCAGGCAAAATATATGACACATAAATTGTATATTGAAGGGCATGTTTCTGGAAAGTTGAAAGGGAATGGTTTAGACATAAACATTGAAAATAAATCCAGTCAACACACCAGCATTCTTTTTTTAACTCTTGAAAGCTTATGAGTGGCAATAAATGGATATTAATAACTAAAAAAGAGCAAGGAAATATTATTAAGCAAAACTATTTGCTCCAGATAATGAAAACCAGCCCACCAGAATGGAAATTTATAATGAAATATTTATTTAGACATAGAAAGCAAATTATTCTTCGTGAAGTAACATTATGAATTTCCGTTACTAGTTTTACACAGTAGTACTCAGTAATGGAAACAGGCACCCGGTGGCACACATCACAGGGACTCACAGAAGTGACCGAGATGAAGAAGGCTTTATTTTTTTTTAATATAAGAGCCAAAAGTAATTTTTTCTCATTTCCAAAGTGAGACGCTAGGTTTTCCCTTGCCAAAAGGATATCATTTTGCATTTCATTTATGCAGCACTCCTTACTCAAATGAATCAAAGTGATTTGACACATCGATATTAAACAGGACAGTCTTGCCTGTCATTTTGTCTGAACACTATAAAATATTACTTAGTTTCTGATATGCTTTTTTCTTGAAATTAATGAAAAGGGAAAAGACCTAAAGCAGGCAAGGTGTTATTTTCATGATCTGTGTACATTCTTATTCTTATTCTATTTATTTATTTATTTAGTCTTTTTTGAGACAGTCTCCCTGTAGCCCCAGCTGGCCTGGAACTCACCATGTAGAGCAGGTTGGCCTTGAACTCACAAAGATCCACCTGCTTCTGCCTCCCGAGTGCTGGGACTAAAGGTGTGCACCACCACGCCTGGCCTTTTCTTATTATTTGTTATACAGTGCTCATTAGGATTGAACACCTGGTTGAGGGCAGGGCTGCTGAGACAAAATCACAAATAAAAGTTTTGTCTCTTCAGCATACCAATGAAGAAATAGTCTGGTGTGTGAGATCTGGCTGACAAACCCGTGAATTCAGAGATCCTGCAGGAACTGACCTGGTTTGAGCCTGGGATTAGACACTAATAAAAATGCTGGCTGCAACTATATCCTGTGGAAAACTGCATGGTGATGATTTGGCAGGTCACAAACACCAATGCATTGGCTTTGAGAAAGTTATTCATCAATTACAGCATCTAATTTCACTATCGGAAACACTTTAATAAATTGGAATTCTCTGACCTTCATGTTGACAGCATTTTTAAGCTTTTAAAATAAATTAAGAACATAAAATGAAATAAATGAATTGTTGGTCAGCACATAGTGTGAATGAACTCCTTAATGAATATTCATAAAATGGCTATTCAACCTGAAGCTGTTTTGACCACGATCACACCAAAGGCAACAAAAAGCCACAAATATGATAAATCATGTTAGTAACAGTAAGGCACATGCCTAACATTCACTATATATTATTAAAATTTCATTTTGGAATTTCCTGAGATGAACAAGGTTTCTGAACCCAATAGATATTAAAAAATGAAGGCTTTACCTCTGCAAACTGAAACAAGGCCGATGTTTGACATTGTGGTTTTGTAGGAGCATCAGGGTGGGATGTACTTGAAGATATCTGAAAGGAAGCAAGTAATTTTTAATGCCCAAGGACCCTGTAGCACATTTGCACTATTAAACCTTGCCATGTACTCCCATGTGGACCCAGAAGTGAGTTGTCATCCTCAATCCCTTTAAAAAAATCAGTTAAAAAATGACAGAGGAAGATGAAGATCAGGTTTCTAAAAACCAGATGAGTGGAAAGAACAAAAAGTCAGTTTTGGCTCATTGGCTCTGCCCCTTATAAGGGTATCAGATGTTTCAAATGGCAGTTAAGGGAGCCTGTTGAGGTTAATTTACTTATCAATGAATCCTTTACAAATATAGTATTACAATATAGTATTACAAGCTGGAGACTATAAGTAAATTCAGCCACTCTCTCCCTACATCTTCCAAGCTGCTCTCTGGAGAGGCAGCTGTGAACCAGTACAGGAGAGGCATGTGAAAGTAGGTCAGTGTATCTGGGTTTTAATCTTATCTCTATTTGCCAGCTACATGGCCTCAGCCAAACTTTGTGAGACTTATTTTTCCCAGCTGCACATTAATGATGATGTTGCCTATTTTACAGAATTATGACGAGAAACAAATAAGCCTAAAAATGCGTTGCCTGCCATAGATCAGAACACAACAAACTGTTCAAATATGAAAGCATTTTGTTTTCTGTGTTTGTGTGTGCTCTCAATCATTCTCCAGTTTACTCTTCCAGCTAGTGTCTCTAACTGGACCCAGAGCTCGTGGATTTGGCCAGGTCAGCAAAACCCAGGAATCTTCTTGTTTGTTCCTCCCCAGAGGCCCAGGTTCTCATGCTTGTGTGGCAGGCATCTTACCAGCCGAGCCATCTACCCAGTCCCCATTTCATCCTCTCGTAACATCTGCAGCCTCCCAGCAAACAGAACACATACACACTTCGGTGCCTAACAGTAGATGGAAGATCCAACACCACACTTGATTCAGCTAAGAGATGTTTTTCTTCCATTGAGTAATGAGGATTCTCAAACTGTTCTAAGGACCATGTAGAAATATGTACAAGGATCCCTTTAAAGAACAAAGGTGATTCCCAAGTGGATAGAGCATCTGTCCAATTACAGAACAGGGTGAAAGTAAGTCTCTACAACAGGAACCCTGGATATTATCATTTCAGCTCACTTGCATTCCACTGAAGTCTCTTTAATAACCATGTTCACTCATCACAGAGTACTACTAAGTAATAAACATGTCCTAATCCCAAATCTTCAACCATAAAAGTGACTTTTAGAGAAGTTAGAAAAATAGTATGGTCATAAGATACAGTACCAAAGTAATGTGTAGGGAGGAGGCAATTTGTATAATGACTGACTGAACTACTGATACTAATTATGACTGAACTACTGAAGCAATTATGAAAGTTTAAATCTATCACATCTTTTTTTTTCAGATAAGCACTTAAAAAATATCAACTAGCTACAAACCAGCCATAATGAATGATAAAGTGAACCAAGTGATTTGAAGACATTCAAGACTGAAACTGAAGTTTTCTTAGTTAAGCCACTAACCTGTGATTTTCCAGGTAATACTGTGTGTAAATGTGATAAACTACAAATATGAAACCATAAAGATTTTTCTAGAGTCTTGGGAAATATAAACCTAGTAAGACTTCACATAACTTCTCATTCCTACTAACCCTCTATAGACGTTAAGAGAAAGTAAACAATTCATATAAAAGCAAAGTCTAACTTATAAAATATTTCTTCCAGAATTAAATCAGGCAGTGAACCAAACAGAACTATAATGATCCATCTAATTATTTTGAAACACAATGAATTCTAAAAAGAGGAACAGTTTAATAAATAAGTATCAAGATACAGTATGATTTCAATGAATGACATGTATATGATCTTCTGAAGAAATATTAGACTAGGGACAATTTCTATAAAAGCAATACTATTAAAGATCTCTTTGAAATCTTATGTATGCATAGAGGCCTCAACACGCACATATACTGTCAAAATTTCAGGTGACACTTTAGAGATGTCGTTCTAGCCTTAGGGCTTCAGAGGTCACTCACTGAACATCTCTGCTTGAAGTTGGGCCCAAACTCAAAGAACATGTCTCTAAATGTTGAAAAAGGATTGTAGCATGAATTCTCTGTTACATGAAGTTCTTAAGGAAACAATGCTCAAAACAACTTGAATTCATGTGAGACTTCAGTCAGAGACAGATAAAAAGTATCAGATAAGAGATACCATGAAGAAAAATGAAATTTAATATTCTGGTGATATTAGCAAAGCAACTAAGAATATTTAAACAGTCTTAAAAGACTGGCTTGATGTATCAGAAAAAAAATCTGAAAAATATGTCCCTTACAAACCATAGCAGGGCAGGCAAATGCCAGGAAGAATAAGTATTGTGGAGAATGACTAACACAAGATAATTTAAATGATCAAGAAAGACTAGATCATTTTAAGTTAGGGGGAAAAATCAATGAGCATTCATACTGCGATTAGGATTAACAGAGATACTTTCAGAAGCAGTTTTAATCTCTATACTTGGTATTAAGGATACTGTTCTTTCTTACAGCAGAGAACCAGAGTCAAGATACATACTGTCCTACAATGTAAGACTTTGGTAATGGCTCACCTCAAGTTAGAAGAGGCAAGTGTATATAAAAACCAAAAAAGGAAAAAAAAAAAAAAAAAGAATGCAATAGGTAACTACCCTGAGTTGATTCTGTCTTTGGATTTATCAATCAACATGTGCTGTATGTTTTAATAATAATTCAGGTTTGGGGGCTGGAGAGATGGCTCAGCAGTTAAAAGAGAACTGGCTACTCTTGCAGAGGATCCAGGTTTGATTCCCAGTACCCACATGGCAGCTAACCACCATCCTAACTCCAGTTTCAGGGGATCCAATGCCCTCTTCTGACCTCCGTGGGCAATGCACGACACAGGTGCACTTATATACATGCAAGCAATACACTCATACACATAAAATAAAAATATTTTTAAAAATCAGGTTTAATAATAGTAGTATTTAGTATGGCTTAACAAGTGTCTATAAACGCCCAGCTACTTCTCAATTAAAAACTCTGGAGCCAGACATAACAATACATGTCTGTAATCCCTGCACTTGGGAAACTGAGACAGATTCACGATTTAATAATAGCCTGGGCTACATAGGGAAACTCTTTCTCAAAACCAAACAGACAAAAAACCCCAGAGTCCCAATATCTTTTCCAAACTTTGATTCAATTTTCCCATTTATGGTTAACTGAGCTGAGTAGAGTTCATTGTTTTCACTTGCTGTCATTAGCCCAAATTTAAGCTCGCTTTATAAACCATTCCCTCATTAACTAGGTATAAATTGCAATAAGTTACCTCAGCAAACTGAAACAATGGTGACTTCTGACGCAACTCAGGTGACTCTGGAACATCAGGCCTGCAAGTCCCAGAGGATATCTGAAACAGAGAAAGAGGCGAGAATAGCTTCCAGGAGGAAGACAACAAATGCCGCTAAAGCATTCCGATCTTGACAAACTAGCAGTTGGATTTTCATTACTTTGAAGCAACACTGACAGAAGATAATTACTGTGTGTGGTGGTTTGAATGAGAACTGTCCCCAAAAGGTTCATGTATTTGAACACTTGGTCCCCAGTTGGGGGTGCAGTCTGGGTGTTACGGAACCTATAGGAGGTGCAGCCTTGCTGGAGGAAATAAAGCCCACTAGGTGGGCTTTGAGGGTTTCTAGCTCCACCCACTTCCTGCTTTCTCCCTCTATTTCTGGTGTACAGATAAAGATGATCAGTCAGCTTCTTGTTTAGGCTGGCATGCCATGCCTTCCCACCATTGTAGATGCTAGCCCTCTGTAACTGAAAATGAAAATAAACTTTTTTCTAAACTGTTGTTTTTTGGTCATGGTCTTTATCATATCAACAAAAAGTACCTATTCTGTGCAGTTTTATACAAGTGACCATTCAACTGCTAAATAATGTCAGAGACAAGAGACAGACAGCACAGAACCTTGAGAATGTCTACAAAGATTAGCACTTTACTAATGGCTTTCTTCCACCAAACTCAGAGAACACCTACTTCCCTGTACCATGTTGCCTAAACATTTCCTGTTAAACAACTAAACAAAACACAAATGGGATCCTACAGACTATCAGCTGGGAAAACTAAAGTCAAATTCTAATTTTACATATTTACAACATAAGCTGTCATCTTAAGGAGGTTAATGTCTACCTTTTTTCTTGTAAGACATTTTCTTTCCTGCTATTTGCTATGTTAGGTGAACACTGAACCTTCTACTATCTTTATCTCTTCAATTATTAACAATAGTTACTGAAGCAGGGTTTGAGAAAAATTATATTTATCAAGGATTCTTGATAGGATATACATTTCTTCTTTTTCAAAAAGTATTTTATTTATTATTTTTATTTTATGTGTATGAGTGTATTGCCTACATGTATGTAAGTGCACCCATGTCTTGCAATGCCCATGGAGGACAGAAGAGGTCATTGGATCCCCTAGAACTGGAGTTATGGACAGTTGTTAGCTGCCATGTGGGTATTGGGAATCGAATTTGGGTCCTCTGCAAGAGCAGCCAGTGTTCTTAACCACTGAGCTGTCTCTCCATCCCCACACTTCCTCTTTTATTTCTGTGCTACAACTTATTTGTTTCTGCACTGGGCAACAAACATTTCAGTTGTGAACGCTAATGAGGAAAGAGTTCTTTATTCTTTCGATCTATGTCCCTCCTCTCATTTTATAAATAAAAATAGTTTAGGATCAGAAAGGTGACACTTGCCCTTCCCAATATTTCCCAAACTGCCTGCAAACAGTATAGATACAAAGAAGTATTTGCTGAATGAAACTGGGCCTGACAGTGCAGGCTTAATCATAGTACTCAGGAGGCGGAGGCAGGAGAATCAGAAGTTTTAGGTTCTCATTGGCTACCTAGTGAATTTAGTGAATTGAGGTCTGCCTGGGTTGCATGAGATCCTATCTTACAACATAAACGTACTTTGCTGACTGAACTTATGAAAGTTGACAAGAATTCTTTTATGTCCTAAATCAGTGTGTTTCTTCCTATACTCCTGAATAATAAAGTTAGGCTGTCCAGGAAAAACAAAAAACAAAAAACAGTTTTTACTTTAAAGGAAAAGATGATAGAAGTTACAAACACACATACACACACACACACACACACACACACACACACAGAGAGAGAGAGAGAGAGAGAGAGAGAGAGAGACAGAGACAGAGACAGAGAGACAGAGACAGAAGGAGAGGGAGAGAGACACAGAGAGAGAGAGAGCTGTCTTTGAGATACATCTTGCTATGTAGCCCAGGCTAGCCTTAAACTGATGCTCCTGCCTTCACCTACCAAGTCCTTGGATTATAGGCATCTACCACTACACACCACTATAAATAACTTGTTTTCTGACTGCAAAGCGATTAAATTCACTGCTAAAATCTTTTTTTAATTATTTATTTTTATATTATATGTATGAATGTTTTGCTTGCATGTAAATGCACCTGTGTCGTGCAATACCCACAAAGGTCAGAGAGGGCATAGGATCCCCTGGAACTGGAATTGCAGATGGTTGTTAGCACCATGTTGTTACTGGGAACCAAGCCCAGGTCCTCTGCAAGAGCAACCAATGCTCTTAATCTCTAAGCCATTTCCCTACAAATATCTTTTAAAGAAGGAAAACCAAAAACAAAATGAGGAAAAAAGTGCCCATCTTGCTACTTTCCAGACATAGACAATTAATATTCTCTATGTTCTGTTAGCTGTACATGTAAATTTTTTCATGATAATAGGATATTGTGCCTTATTATAGGCTGTTCTTTTTGTATCTTGATGATTTTCTTGCTTTTATAAATATTTTCCAATTTAATTTTAGTAGCCGTATGTGATTGTATTAGATGGTTCAATTCTATGGAAGAAGTTGTCAATCAACCAGGCTACCAAGTCATCAATCATAGCCTATAAACAGTTTACCACAGAACCTTTTCACAGGATACTGAGGAGAGGGGTGTTTCTCTAGTAGTGTTCAGGCTGTGGAGCATTGTATTTGAAACTTATGGTCATTTTTGGATTTTTTTTAGAACAAGTTATGGCCACTTTTCTCAGTGATAAATACCATAGAAAAGCTGTTAATCTGCCATCTGGGATCACTTGCCTTCATTATCATCACTTGACTGTTAGACATTTTGTGCTAAATATTCCACTAAGAAAACACAAGGCACACTTTCAAAAAGAAAGCTGATTAATTCTCAAATTAGTAGCCACAAAGCTTTGGAAATTCTCTATTGGATCGATTGATTGAACAAAATTTAGGAATAACAATAAGAGCAATAATAAATTTAACACTTACTAGTTAATAAAGAAATCTTGTGTGTTTGCCTCCTGGATATTTTGGGAAATAATCAAAGTTTGATTAAAATCAAGCTTGGAACTGAGTAAAGATTATAAAGTACCTTTATAGAATTTTTAATAAAAATAGGTGTACACATGACAGAAATCTTAAAAAATATTTGCAATAAAACATATTGTCATTTAGGCAGGTAGATTATAGGTCTGGTGGCAAAGACCTATAATCCCAGCTACTTGGGATGCTGAGGCATTAGGATACCAAAGTTCAAGGCCTGCCTAGTGAGTTCAAAGCCCAGCCTGGGAGACTTAATATGATCTTGTTTTAGAGGGAAAAAAGCATAGGAATGTAGCTCAATGCTTAGAGCATTTATCTGGCAAGACCTGAGGTTCCTAATAAAATTATCTTTCTGGGTAACTAGAATTCATAAAGCCTATAAGCCTACTTAACATACAGAGTTTTGTGCCATTTAACAACAGGGACAGGTTCTGAGAGCTGTGTGAAGATCAGAGTATACTCTGATTGCTTTAACAGCACTAGGCAATATAATTTTATGGGACCCCATCATGCACACAGTCCATTGATGACTGCAATGTCATTATGAACACATCACTGTATTTTTACTTCAAATCCCATGAAGTGGGAGAAACAGTGGCTCTTTGAGGAGGCAAATTGTCATGAGACTTAGAGTTCATATTAACAGTAAGAATTCTTTTAACTGTCATTTATAGATTATTTGCCCAAAATAATGAATTAAAAAAATTTTAAATGTCATGAAGTTTAAAAAATTAAATTATTTTCTTTACAAATCTTTAAGATGAATGGTCTTAAATAGAACTATTTGAATAGAAGATTCAGATGTAAGGAATTATCAAGGCATGTGTGATCTGGTCCATGAAAGAAGTTCATGCCTGTATGTTTGTACTAACCACGCACCAGACAGAGTAGATGCACAATAAGTATCTGTTGACTGACTCAATTCACTGTGTGTGTGTGTGTGTGTGTGTGTGTGTGTGTGTGTGTAAAGAGAATCTCAGTGACCCAGCAGCAAAGTATAACATAGGCTGTCGAGTGGCTTTTTTTTTTTTTTTTAACTGTAGTGGAGCATGGACCTTCTCAATATCTAGGTATTAATACTTTAAAGCAGTGTAAAGTTGCCATATTCAGTTAGTATAGTATAGTGGAGACAGCATAAAATGAGAAGCCTGGAGGACTGGGTTACTAAGCTATGTAGTTACTGACTTGGTTACTTTCTAAAGCAGAAGAGAACTGTAGATCAAAAGCCAAGAGTAGGGATAAGAAAAGGGAGAGGGTTATAAAGTATTAGGCAGCATCATGAGAGGGCAGAGGGGAATCACTTAAATTCAATCCTCCCTTTGAGTTAGTTGTAATTCTCAATAGCCAAAGAAGGGAAATGATAGAGTTTTGGGGAAAAACTAAAGAGCTGATGTAAATGTATATGGAAAAAATTTTAAAAATTCATTATTTTGGGCAAACAATTATAAATGGGAGGCAAATAGCCTCCCATAATTTCATGTGAAGGCATATATTCAGGGCAATAATTAAGATTACAACTATGGTTCCACATCACTAGGGTGAGGATGAATACAAAATAATCTTTACTGAGATGATAAAACATGTTAAGCATGTTTATCTAAAAATCTCAAAATATGACATGGCCTCATGACACAACAAATGTATATATGTAAAGCTCTATGCAGATGAAAAGGAGAGATTTCTTACAAAAGGCTCCTCTTAGAGTCTTATACCCTGTGTACAAAATGCTGTCCTGTTCATTTAAAATACTTCAAAGTATCTATTTTTATTAATTGGGGCATGACTGTTAGGAATCAACATTCATTCCTATGCTAAAGCCAGCTTTCGAAATATATTAGAATATAGAGTCAAAGAACTAATTATGAATTAATGAAGAGGAAAGAAATGACACTAAATAAGCAGTGGTTAAACAAGAGAAAAAAGGAAAGAAAACAAACAAAAAACCTCAAACAATCAAGATGCTGTTTCTAGAAAGCCTCTGAAATAATACAAAAAGCCACTAGGTGTTGCTATACCCCCAAA